ATACTCTCAATATTTCTGGAACTCAAGGTCTAGCAGGAGAGAGAAGGCACGGACGCGCACCCTAATACAGCCACCGTGTGTCTAACCACGTCACAGGCATCGTTTCCACTTACCTCGTGATGGCCTTTGGGGTCACTTGTGCAGAGAGCTCTTCTGTTCAGAAGAGGAGGTGGAGGCACTGTGAGTTAGGGCACAGGGTGTCACGTGAGGGGCTGTGATGGGGGGGGACATGAGATGCTTGACGGCTGGGCGGTCAGGGCACAAGCAGGGGTCCAGGTGGTGAGAGGGCGTAGCTGAGCTCAAAGGGCAGGTGGCGTGTTGCTCACGGGCCTAACCGTGACCGGGTTTATGACTGAACCACCTCGGTCTCTAAGCGCCACAGTTACTGTGTGACTGTGGGCTGGCCACGTGCCTCCTCTGGACCTCATTTACCCCTAGGATCAACTGAGGGGCTCTCTAAGGGTCAGGCGTTCAAGTATTATCTGGACATCATTTGAGAAGGCGTGTTTATCATTAAAATGATGGTGATGACGATGATGATGGAGAAAGTATACTTGGACGGGTGGGCTTACTGTGGACCTCCAAGCACCTCGTCCTGCTTAATCCTTCACTGGCCCAGGGATTAAGTTCCTACCATTGATCTGTTTTATAGATGAATTTGCCCAAGGTCAGAGAGCTGAGGAAGCAGCCAGTATTTAAATTCCAGTCCATGAGGCTCCAGAGCCCGTCTCCCAGCCACATCATTGTGCCATTGCTTGTCTCCTCACCAGGCATCATGCCGCAGGGGCTCCAAGCAAGGAGAGTTCAGAGGAGAAGCAGTGGCTCCCAGGTGGGGGCTTCTTGGAGGTGGTGTCACTGCAGTGCAGCCTTGAAGGATGCAGAGGAGGAAGGCAGTGGTGCAAAGAGCCTGCCATTCCTCCCAGAACCTGGGGGCCCACAGGCTCTGTAATTTGTGTTCTAGGATGTCACCACCCCCCACCCATGTGGGTGGAGGACAGAGCTCCGTACTGGAGGCTCTGCCATTTCCCAGCTTTCGTGACCTTGGGCAATTCCCTACACCTCTCGGGGCCTGTTTCCTCTTCTGTAAAATGAGACCAAGGATGCCTGTGGCTCATGAGGATGGAAGGGGATACCAGATGAATCTCCAGCTCAGAGACGGGCCTGTCCAAGGCCTGCCCTGGGTGCTGGTTCTCCCCTTTCTTCTTTCTGCCTGAATCTCCTCTTGGGGCAGTGGGTTCACCTCTCATATGGGTATGTTTTCCTATAAATTTCCCTCAAACAACCTTTTTCAAAAAGCAAATACCGGGCTTCCCTGGTGGCGCAGTGGCTGAGGGTTCGCCTGCCGATGCAGGGGACACGGGTTCGTGCCCGGTCCAGGAAGATCCCACATGCCGCGGAGCGGCTGGGCCCGTGAGCCACGGCCACTGAGCCTGCGCGTCCGGAGCCTGTGCTCCGCAACGGGAGAAGCCAAGCAGTGAGAGGCCCGCGTACCACACAAAAAAAAAAAAAAAAAAGAAAGAAAGAAAAGCAAATAACATTGCTGGATTCTTAGATCTTAGATCTGCCACATCTAGTGCGTATATTACAGTCCCTCTTGGCCGTTGGCCCTTAACTGTTCCTCATATCTCAGCCCTTTGATGATTCTGGTTGCGTTTTCATGAGTCCTGTTGGCCATGATTACATCTTTCCCAAAGCTGAGTGACTAGAATCACTAAGCACCCTCTGGGCGAGGGCTGTACGGGGTGAAACAGGGCGGCCACACCTTCTCCACTCTCTCCGGTCCTCTCCTGGAGCACATGACCACTTTCTGCGCTTCCGGCATAGTCGCAGGTGGCCTTGTGCTCACCTGCCGCTGCCTGGGGAGTTCCTTGAGGGCCAGGGCTGTGTGGTGGGCACCTGTTCTTTTGCCTGTCCAGCAAGTCTCCCCCATCTTCCAAACACAGCCCCTCAGGTTCCCCTTGGGAACCGCTCCCCTCCTCCTCTTACTCCTCGTGGTTTGGGTGAGACTCACACCGTCGCCCAGGTTAATGGGGTGGCCCAGGAGTGGCCAGGCAGACCCTGCCACCCCCACCAGGAACAGGGTGGCGATTGGCTCAGGGATGGGAACGGGGCCCCAGCCAGGCCTACGGGGGCCCTCCTCAGTGCTTTTGCTGGAACTATTAGGAAAGATGTGTTCTCTTCCCCTCGAGGTGGGATGTAAGTGTGGGGCTTCCAGTGGCTGCCTTGACCTCCGTGAGGGAAGTACCTGCCTGAGATGATTCCAACATGAGAAAACAGAACTGAGAGATGGAGAGTGACTGCTTTCAGTGACCCAGTTTGAGTGCCTGGATCCAACTATGCCTGAAGCCAGTGTATCATCCTGGATGTGTTAATTTCACAAGTCAGTACGTTTCGTTGTTTAAAGTCATTTACCTTGGGTTCCTGTCCCTTCAAGCAAAGGAGCGCTAACTAATACAGTCTGTGTCTCCCTCATTGCAATGTTCTTCTTCATACCAGTGGTAATGCTAGGCACTGAGAAGGTACTCAATGGAATCCTGCTGAATGAATAGAAGAATAATGTCACCAGCATCTTGTGGGCAGCTGTGTTCTGGGCAGATGTCTAAGAACTCAGCCCAGTGATTGCACACCCCCTTCTTGGGTCACAAGGCAACGCAGATAAGCAGCCTGGGTTTTCACCTTCCTCTATGCCCAATATAAAGTTTAGAGGCTGGTTTTCTACCCAGTCTTGTAACTACATTTCCAAGTCAATTTCAGTTTATTCCCACAAAAGTCCTCCGTAGTGAACTTAGAGCCATTGGCAACCCTGGCAGGATTCTCTCCTTTTGATTATTGATGACAATGTCAAACAAAACATAAATAAGAAAGTACGGCCCAGCTCGACCACTTCCTGGCTGCATGACCGTGGGCAAATTGCTTGCTGTCCTGGTCTCTGCTTCCTTATCTGTAAAATGGGTGCAATAACTGTACCAATGGGGTTGAGGTGCCTGCCACACAACTGGCACTCCAGCAAAGGTGCCTTTTCAGGCTTCATCTGACGACAGCTCAGGGGCACTCCCACTCTGCAGGTCTCCATTTGGAGGTGTTCTAGCTCTACTTTCTAATTTCCTGTCATCAAGCCAGCTCTCTCTTGGTGACAACACATCCCCCAAATTTTATGGCAGCTCCATGTTGACATATTTTTTAATGGCCTTTGTGCTGCAACCTCATCTCTGGATCTGTTCAGCTATGTTATTGGTCTGTGCCCTTTGATCACGCACATATTGATCTCTCGATTAATGAGAAGCAATTTGCTCATAAAGAACTATGACGGGGCTTCCCTGGTGGCGCAGTGGTCGAGGGTCCGCCTGCCGATGCAGGGGACGCGGGTTCGTGCCCCGGTCCGGGGGGATCCCACATGCCGCGGAGCGGCTGGGCCCGTGAGCCATGGCCGCTGGGCCTGCGTGTCCGGAGCCTGTGCTCCGCAGCAGGAGGGGCCACGGCAGTGGGAGGCCCGCGTACCGCAAAAAAAAAAAAAAGAACTATGACACTCTCCTCCCAGACAAGTCACATGCATATGATTCAATGATCGCCCAGGTGTTCAGTGGCACCATCCAGCCTGCCAGAAACTGAATAAAAACATTCTGTTCCTGGCATTAATGATGACAAAAACCCACATAGGTCTAATCAGCACAAGCCTGGGTTTGAGGCTGCCCCTGGGATGGAGAGACATGAGTGCAGAGCAGCTGGGCACATGGGATGTTGCCTGGCATTTCTGGCTGGTCCTGGAGAGTTGATCTATTCAGAAGTTCTCTATGGGGGGCGGGACCACCTTGCAAGGAGGCATCTGGAATGCGGGCAGGTATTGTTGTCATAGATACTGGGGGTCTTAGTGGAATTAAGTAAAGGGGTGGGTAGGCAGGGATGCTAAACTCCTACAACACATGGGACAATCCCGCACCATAAAAACTTGCCCCATGTGACATGCCACCAGGGCCCCAGTTGACAAGCACCGGGAATCCAGCCCATCACACAAGGCTGAATTCACATTCAGAATAACAACCCGCAGACTCTCTTACCTACAGGACCCCAAGCCCAGGCCACAACACAAAGCCCCGCATTAGTACCCCTGTCCTTCCCCGCCCTGCAGATCTGTCTGGGGGACCTACGGAATTCCTCTGTTTGTTTTGTGCTTTGATTTGAATTCATTACCAACATTTTAAAACTCAGGAGACTTCACCACACAAATCCAGATTTCCAGCTTCTCTGGTCACCTTGGAGGATATGGACCCCTTGGCCCGTGAGAGTTCCAGGTGCCCACTGTCCCCACTGAGCCCGCTTCACTCCCTGACTGTCCCCTCCTAGCATCTGAGTTTGCAAACCCAGCTTTCTGTAAGGTTCCAGGCCTGAAGACAAACCACAGTGAACTGCAAATGAACTTGAGCAGCCCTGCAAAGGCATGGAGGACACGATACCCACTCTCTTTCAAACCAGACCACAAGCCTTGACCCCAGTCACTACACGTGGCATGGCTGCAGGCTTTTGTAAGAACCAGCACTCCAGAGTCAAAATCAGGACTGATTGAACTTTAAATGACATCAACCAGCTTCAAACACAAGTGTAAAAGGACTCCTCCTTTATACAACAAGGCATGATTACAGGCTCAGATTTCCAGGGACCTTCAAAGCCTGTGAGATCACAGGTTGGCCTATTCAGGTGACTAATGCACAGGCCCTGCCAAATTCTAGCTTTTCATAGCAAACCCAGCTTCTCCCAGAACTGAAGCAGGGAAGCGAGAGGTGGCTCTGACACGTCGAACAGTTTGCTACAGCTCAATCAAAAGATGCAATTAAATCAGTGAATGGAGAAATAGGAACTGGGATGGCAGATATTATTCCAAGCTTCTGAGTGGAGGGTGATTGCATCCCATTCCTATGTGAGAGAGCCTGCATGCTGTTAATAAATCTAAATAGGATTTTGATTTGGCTAATATGAAGGGCAGCCGTTGAGCGGCTTCATCTTACCGGTTCCTCTGCTGGAGCAATATTAAATACTCATCGTGTTTCTCATCAAAGTCTGTCGCCATGTCCTTAGTGTAACCCTGAAATGAAGAAACAGAGCGGTGTGATATCGGAATGCAGGGAAGCTTTACTGAAGCCTGGGTACAGCACACGCCACACAGGAGGCCGAGAGGCCGAGAGGCTGACCTTGACGAAGGCCCAGCTCCCTGGGCGCATCACCCTGGTGACCCAGAGCCCCAGAGACTGTCTGATGGCCCTCTGGGTCTTGAACATACACAACTAACAATCTACGAAAAGAAGGTCGATTCCCCAGCCTTGCCACTGTTCCTTCCTCCCATGTCCTATAAAATCAAGGACTCTGAGAAGACTTGGGCTTTACTGTTTCCTCCACACTCATGATTTTGTGATCTCAGTTGTCCCAACCAGATGGAACCCAGATCAGTTGTTTAAGAGGGGAAGCTCAGGCTTCCCTGGTGGCGCAGTGGTTGAGAGTCCACCTGCCGATGCAGGGGACACGGGTTCGTGCCCCGGTCTGGGAAGATCCCACATGCCACGGAGCGGCTGGGCCCGTGAGCCATGGCCGCTGAGCCTGCGCGTCCGGAGCCTGTGCTCCGCAACGTGAGAGGCCACAACAGTGAGAGGCCCGCGTACCGCAAAAAAAAAAAAAAAAAAAAGAGGGGAAGCTCATCTTTCTCTTGCCATTGTACGAAAAATGCACGCTTATTATAAACAACTCAGTCATTACAAAAATATATGACCCCCCCAAAAAAATATATGACCCAGAGAGTGAAGGCTCCTTTAAAGCAGACATTTGTGGTTTCCTGCTTCCTCTTCCGGCCACCGAACTCTGAATTTCTTCGGGGGAACCATTCAGCCCCCTTTTTTCAGTTCACTGGCTTCCTTAGATGCCCATGAAAGTTCCTTTGGTCTCCTCTTGGGTCACATGACCTTGGCCTTCATCTCAACCATCAACATAGTTCTTCCCTCAGCCACAACGATTCACTAGTCCAGGGATGAGCCATGGCCTGAGCACGGCCCTTGAAAGTCAGCCCTGGGACTTTGCTAATACTCCTGGGGAAAAAGCTGTTCTCTTTCCACTGGGGTGCTAAAGTGATGAGATGCAGGCCTGGAATTGCCTGAGAATGAAGTCAAGAAAGAAGACAGCAGATCCCAGAGATGGAGAGGAGAGATTCCCAATAACATAATTTGAGCCCCTGGATCCACCCATGCCTGAAGAAGTACTGGTACAACTTAGTTATTGCTTTAAAGTTTCAGCTGAGTTTCTGCCCTTTGTAGCCAAAAGAATTATAAGTTATATACCGTAACCTGACCATTAGAGATAACCCCTATTAGAATTTGTTACAGCTTTATGGAGGGATAATAAATGTATAATAAACTATACATATTAAAAGCGACATGTATATACCAGTAAAACCCCCATTACAATCTGATACATATTTCTCTAGATGTTTTTCTTTGTTTACAATATACATATGTTCATATTTATAAATACAAACACACACATTCTTTTAAACAAAAGTAGGATTATACTGTAAACAATGCTTTGTAATTTTCTACGTTTCTTAACTAACTTTTTGCCAAGGAATGGATTAAAGGGACAATACCAGCTTCATTCTAGTCACAAGGCACAGGGATTAAGTGTTAAATGGCAAGTAAGACATTTGTAAGAGAAACACAATTTGTGTGAAAATCCTAACGATTATCATGGGAAGAAGAAAAAAAAGAATCTCCATCATTCTGTTCTTAGCACCTCAAAATCTGGCCTTAACCCCACTAATCTACCAGAACTCACCCCAAGGGTGACTCATAACCTCCTTAAGCAAATATAATAGCTCTTCCCAACTTCATCCTTTTCGACTGCTCCGGGCCATGGGGAGCTGTTCCCACCCATCCGTCCCCAAATTCCCCTAGTGTAGCTTCTGCGGTTCTGAATGAGCCTCCCTTCCCTCCTGCACCTTCTCTGGCTGCGCTTCCTCCTTGGCCTTGGACGTGGATGGCCACTGTCTCTGTCCATCTCACCTCTCTGGGTCTCTCTCCCTCTGTCTTCTCTTCTTCTGATACAAGGAAATGGGTCCCCTGGATGGGGAAGCCAGAGAGTCACTGCTAGTCCAGGGCTGACAGCCCAGTCCCCTTCTCTCCCCTTTTCCTATAGGACTCCAGGTTGTGGCCATCTGCTTCCCTCTTTCCCTGTCACCCCCACTTTTCCTCCCAGGCTCCCCTCTCTCTGGGCCACCTGGGGACAGGATGCTGTACTCCCATCTTCTCTCACCCGATGTCTCTGAAGCCTCTGGATTTTCCTGGGGTTTTCCGGCTTAACTAATCTGGCCAATCAGTGGCCAATCAGTGGGGAATAATAAGAAAGGGTGATTTTATGAAATCATAAGAAATTTAAACAAACTAGCAATAGGTGTTCCTATTCCTATTTCCCTGGCTTCCTGAGATGCCCAGAGATGTTCCCTTGTCCTCCTCGGGACTGAGCCCTGCCTCACCTTGACTGTGAGAAAAGCACTGTGACCTCCGCCCTCTGGACAGCTGGTTGGTTGCGGGACACTGGTTCTGGAGAGGATTCACAGTTCCTTCCACAACAACGTGTGTACGATGCGGACAGTTGACGCAGCAATTCCATATACATGATTCTCCTTTGATTTTTGCAGCAGCCTTTGAAGTGGTTATTATTACCCCATTTAAGATACAAGGAAACCCATCCCATGCATCTCCCCGGAATACGGATCCTACTCCATGGCAATTTACATAACCATTTTGAGATATTAAAATGACCACTGATATATTATGGTATGTAATGAAATAGTCAATGACATTTTTAGATGAAATATGAGACTTCAGAGAAATCTCAGCTTGGGGTGGGCTGTCCTGGGCTTTGACCTCAAACCCTCAGGGAATACATTTATTTGTCTCTGCCAGGAGGGAGATGTCATAGGAAAGATTTGAAGAGCTCAGGCATATATCCAGCCAAACTACTCACCAGCCCCGTGCTTCTCAAATTCTGCTGTGAACACAAATCACCTGGGGATTGTGCTGAAATGTAGGCTCTCCTTCCGTAGGACTGGGAAGGGTCCCAAGCCCACACGTCTAACAAGCTCCCAGGCAATGCCCGTGGGCCACACTTAGCCAGCAAGGCCCTAGACCAGACCAGCTTATTCCCCACTATTCACAATACGCCCACCTCTAATCAGATCAGCGCTGAACTGGAGCTGTGAAGAATGTGAGCTTTGGAGTCCAGACCTGGCTCCAAGTCACAACAGTGCTGTTTGTTTCCTTATCTATCAAATGGAGGTAACAGTAGTACCTGTCTGGTTGGATTTGTCTTTCCCTCACAGGGTCAAATGTGGGTTGGATGCAATAACAATAAAAAAAAACATAGCACAGTACCTGGCACTTGGGTAGCTCTCAAGGAATGTTAGTTACATTTGCATTTATGGAGTTCCATTATTTAACTAGTACTATCCTGGCCCCTCCCCACTCCCAGCCAGCTCATTGCTATCCTGATGCCTTAATCATTCGATTCCCTTTCCCTCCAGCCTCCACCCAAATCCTCTCCAAGGCCCAGCTCAGCTCCCCAATTCTCCACAAAGCCTTCCCCTACCATTCTCACCCCCGCTCACTTCAGCTCATTCTGAAACCCTGCAATTAGTATTAAATTATATACAATACAGCGTGAAATCATATATAATTAAGTGCTACATTGTAAGCCTTTAACTATATCTATTGCTCACTCATTATCTGGGGATTTGGAGACCTGGAGGTGAGTCCTGAACTCTGCTACTTACCTTCTCTGAGCCTCAGTTTCCTCATCTGTAAAAAGGGAATAGTAATAAGGTCTACCTGGCAGGGCTGCTCTAAGGATTAACTAGGAGAAAAGTAGAAGTAATTTAGGATCCGTTTCTTTCTTCTTATTGATTCCCCAACTGGATTATAAATTCCTGGAGCACAGAACTGGGGAAGGAGGGGATCATCATGTGGGGAGCCTGGAGTCCTGGGTTCGGGTCTCAGCTTCAACAACATCCAGCTCCATGATCATAACTGCTAAGGCTGACCAAGTACCCACCTGGTTAACCCTCACCCTGGTCAGACATCAGACACTACTTCTCCCCAGCACGGCATATTTCACTTTGCTGAGGCTTTATTTCTCAGGCTATAAAGCAGAGGCATTAATTAATATTTAAGGCATCCCACAAAGGTGGGAGAAACTTAGAAAGCGCCAGGTTTATCATCACTGTGTTTCAGCAAACACTGATCAAGTGTTTACTGTGTGGCTGTTACCTATGCAATGAGAGTTTAACAAAAAACTGACCCAGCGTGCATTCAGATTCCAACATGCCTGTAGACAGTACCCAACCGCCAGCCAGGGCCCGATCTGCACAACTCTGCCCCCATTCCTGTTGTGTGCGGTGTGAATGGCACCCCCTGCTTTCATGTACCCAGTCAAGCAACACACACTGGCCAGGGGTCCCTAATATGGGGGATGGCCCGCAGGGGGCTCTGGGGACATCGATTCAACTGACTGCACAAGGGTACTATTCTGGGAAGAGAGTCCATAACTTTCATCACCAAGGGTGTCTGAGGCCAAAAAAAAGAGACAAGTGATGACAGCAAAATGTACAAAATGTGATGCCAAGGATCTGAAGGAGGGAACAGAGGAGGCTCCTGAGGGCACGGCCAGGCCCAAATCCTTGGGAGTCATCTTGGAAGCATAACTCACTAACTCACTCTCCCACTCCACGTCCAGTCCATCAGCTCCATGTGAAAAATACCATGTATCCAAAAGCTGACCACTTCTCCCCACTTCCCCACTACCACACTGGTTCAGGACCCTTCACTGGCCTCCGGCTCCCGCCCTCACCCCTACAGTCCGTTCTCCTTTCTACAGCCGGGGGTCCTGATGAAAGGGAAGTCGAATCATGTCACTTCTCTGCTCTGGACTCTGCACGGGTCCCAGCGGCCACCAGGCCCTGCCCACTGGGCCTCCATCCACGTCCCTGACCTCCTCCCACTGCTCCACCCTCCTCCTCATCACTGCAGTACCCGCAACACCCAGCAT